TTTTATATAAACCAAAAACTAGAGTAATGAGTCAATCCTTCATTTAAATGATTTTTGAAAACCTCAATATGTTGGTTAGTGGACTTTTATTTATTCATACAACCTCAAGAGAATAAGAAAAAAAAAATAAATACATTTCATGGTGTTTGTTATGTGCAATTGTATTTTAATGACTTTTTTAAAGTGTTTACTACCTCTTATTTTATTTGTTATCAAACTATTAATTTATAAATGTTCAGATTAGTTTTAAAGTATAAATACTTAATGTTTTGTTGAAATTGAATGATTTCTAGTTTAGTTGTAAATTAAATTGAAAATTAATTTTTTTTTGTAATTAAGTTAATACTTCATTTTTTATTAATGAATATTAATAGCATTTTGTAGAATCTGATTGTGTTTAAATTCTATTTAATAAAAATAAACTTATAAAATGAATTATTTTTATCAATGAATATCTTTAAAATTAATATCTATCTATCTATCTAATTTTGGATAATATACTGATGAATAATAAAATAAATTTTTTGAAACATTACAATAATTTATAATACTTTTAATATAATTAAATAAATATTCTATAACTTTTTATAATGATGTTTCTATATTTTTTGGTTATTTTTATTTGCAGTTTTTATAAATAATACATAAAAAGAAACAACTAATAAATGATGTAATAACAATTAGTATAAAATAATAGATTTAATATATATATTTATAATTTGTATTAATATACTAAAGCAACTTATGAAAAGAATAAGAATAATTTATAATTAATGGAAGTATCAAAGAAAAAATTAAAATAGAGATTAATTTAATGACAATACCAAATAATTAATAAAATATAAACGTTGCTAAAAAAATAACACCAATAAATAACTAGAAATAAATAGACTTTATAAAATAAATATAAAGATGAACAACATAAATAAGAAATAATAAATTAATAAAATATTATAATATAATTAACAAAAGTAACAAAGATTATTTTCTATATTTTCCAATCTTTCATTTTTATTTTTTATTTAGTTTTTTATTGTTTAAAATAATAAAATTACAAATACTGAATGTTGTTGTTTCATGAAATTTTAAAATCAAAGAATATTTAATAACACTGAAAATGAACTTAAAATCATCATTTCATGACAGTAAATCAAAATTCATTTTCATTTGGATATTAGAAATGAATATGAAATACTTCAAGATGAAAAGTGAAAAAAAAATAAGTAACTTCATGAGTTAGTCTTTCGCAAATAGATAAGAGTGGTTACATGATTATAGGATGTTGTTCAAATTATGGTACGCATAGTGAATATATTATTTATGATTCTAAGAAAATTATAGGAAGAGATGAAAGTGATGTGAATTATGAACACTGTGATAATTATCCATTTGCAGTACAAAGTCGAGATAATGGAAGTGAGTATATTGAATGCTATAATCCAAACACATAAGATATTGAAGAATTTGAACCAGAAGAAATAAATGGAATGATATTAAATTATTTATATGATATTACACAAGCATTTTTTACAAAATGGTCAAATAACAAATACTGTTGCTACTGTTCCAAATTATTTTAATAAAAAACAAAGAGATACAACGTTGTTTGTATATAAAGTGGCATTAATTAAGAGTGTTGAACTTGTTAATGAATCAACAGCAGTCATTATTGAATATAAAAGAGAATATCCAAGTTCATTAAAAGAAGGAGATAAAATTGTAGTAATTGATTTTGGAGGAGGAACATTAGATATAGCATGTTGTAGAATAATACATGGTAATAATGTTAAAGTTTATTCAAGTGGAGATGACCAAGACTTAGGAGTAAATGATTTTGGTATAATAATGATGGATATTATTAAAGAAAGAAGCAGAACGAATGAAAACTGAATTAAGTGATAAAACATATTCTGAATTAAATTTAGAATAATTATTATGACTATGGCATTGCTCCTACAGTTATAAGAAAAGGACTTGAAGAAGAATGTAAAAAGAAAGGTTTATATTAAAGGTTTATAAATAAAATAAAAGAAGTCAATCAAAGAAAATGATATAAATGAGAAAATGTTCAATTAGTATTATTCCTTGATGGAACGTGTAAAATTCAAAGAAATATAGAAGGAATTGTGAATCTATTTGACATACAAACATTTGCTGATAAGAACTTTAATCATCTTACTGTTGTTGCAAAAGGAGCTGCATATTTAGTGTATTTAAAACAAGAAATTGCATTGATTAAAGAAGTTGTATATGATATTATTCCATTGCCAATTGGAATAGAATTAGAATGAGGAATAAATGAAATAAATATTAAAGAAGGAGATACACTTCCAACAAACGTAATAATAAAATAATACCACACAACCAGTGATAATCAAATACCAATGAAATTTAATGTCTACAGACAATTTGGTAATCGCACTATTTTTATCAAAAGGGAATATATTACTACACGTATTGTTGATAGAATTCCAAATGTAAAAGTTTGAGAACAAATAATTGAGTTTTCAATTCAAATTAATAAAAATGGAGTGAAGATTAATAGTTCTAATGTTGGAAGTAATATCAAAAAGACATTCAAGTTATATTTATTTTTCTAAGAGAAAATATGATAAATATATAGAATTAATAGAACATTTCAAAGATTTTATTAAATGAATAAATTTAATTTTTGTTTTATTTTGTTGATAAATATGAAAATATTAAAATAGCTATCATTAAATCCAAATTTTCACAACTGATAAAAAATTTTTATAATGTAACAAGTTATAATTACATTGTTTTTCATATTGTTTGTTTGAAAAAAAAATAACAAATCCTTTTCAGTCAAAAATTGCTATTTACAATTAAGAAAATTATATTTAATTACTTAATTTGAAAATAAGAATAGTTAAATAATCAAAATACTATATTCATAGTTACATTAATGCTAAATAATATAAATTTTACAACAATTGTTTAAAAATTATAATATTCTTTTTCTTCCAATAACACTCTTCTAATATTTTTTTAGTTTTAATAATATAGCAATAGCTAAAACATCCAATACTTTATAACTTTTCATGGTAATTTTATGAAATTTGGTTTAATAATGAATAATAACTTGATTATAAACACTCTTTTATAATTTTATATTCAAATATATTTAATAATAATCATTGTTGTACCAGAATGATAGATAAAAAAAGTTAATTTTAATGAAAAACTCAAAGAATTATATTAGAATAAAATAAATAAATGATTAAAGATGTTCTTCAAATGCATATTGTAATTCCAAAACTGAATATTAAACAAATGATAAAGAAGATAATAACATAAAAGATAATATTATTATTTATTATAAAAGAAAATAAAAATGAAATATTTTCTAAGTATAACAACAAAAACGAATATATATAATAATACTCATAACAAATAAAATTTATAATAATTAAATTGTAGACATAAAAACAGTGATAATTAAATGAATACATCTTAAAATAAATTAGCAATAGAAATGAGAATGTATTAATGTACAAGTCTTGACATGAATTAATAAGAATAAACTATAAACTATTAAAATTTAAAAAATTATGAATCAAATACTTTCATGTTGTTAAAAAATATTTTTCTTTTAAATAAAAACCAATTATTATGAAAAATCAAAACATTAACTTAATGAATTATCGTATTTTTATTTTTGTTCAGTGCATGGTGTTGACATTTTCTTAGCTAATTTACCACATTTTACTTTAAAGGTTTTGATTTTCATGAACTTATCTGTATTATTTGGAAGAACACTACTAACAGCATCAGATAATGCTTTAGCATTCTTTAAAGCAACTTCTTCTCTCTTAAGGACATATCTCTTATCTAATTTACCTTGTAATCTAGCAAGAGCTATTTTGTTTTCAGCTTTGTTTACTTTCAAAGCAGCTTTTCTATTTCTTCTATTAATTCTATCTTGAACCATTTCTTTAATTTCTTTTTGTCTTTCTTTTAATTGGTTCATTTTTCTATTATGTGCATCTACAAGAATATCACGGGCAATTTGAGTTTTAAGACCTTGTCTTTCTTGTTGTGACTTAACAGCCTTATCCTTTAACATATCAATTCCTTTCTTTTCATTTTCAATTGACTTTTTCATTTCTTTAGCAACAGTATGGATAATTCTCTTTTTATTAGCAGTATCACCTTTAGCCATTTGAATGTCTAAAGTAGCTGATTTATCTAAGGCATTTCTTTTTTCATTACTAGCAATAACATTCTTTAAAATTGATTGAGTAGCTTCTCTTTCTAATTGTTGTTTTTGAGCTTTAAGTACTTTATTTCTCATATTATTAATATCTTTTCTGTTCATTTCATACTCTCTATTCTTTCTCATTTGAGTTACTTTTGCAGCTTTTAAGGTATCTTTTTCAATTTGTGCATCATTAGCAATTTTTTTATGAGCAATTACTCTTCTTGTTTCAAAAGCTGTTTTTTGTTTTTTTAATTCGTCAATTTCATCAGCTAATTCAGCTTTAATTTTTCCCATATAATCATTCTTGGCAATTTCTAATTTATTCTTTAATTTAGAGTCAAGTACTTTTTGTTTTAAATCTTCTACTTTCTTTTGTTGTTTTAATTTATATTTTCTAAGTGCGTCTCTAGCACATGCAATTTTTGCTTTTTTATA